ATTCCGCATATTATATTAAGACTAGAAAAGTTCCTATTTAATGTCATACAGTAAACTACGTTGTTTTTTATGGTTGAGTTTTCATTGCATTTATCTCATAATGTTTGGTCCCAATGGTCATTTTAGACAGTGTTTTTAAATAAATTACTCCCTTTTGTATGTTTCACTATTATGTTTAATAACTGCTTCCTTAATCATATTCTCAAGAATTTAGAAGTCTCTCACTGTAAACAAAAGAATCGTATTTTACATGATATTTTCAAAATATAAAAAAAAAGAAAAAACTATAAGAAATAATTTATTTTATACCATATGAACCGTTATGTTTCAGCATATGTTTTATTGTTTTTCTCTTGCTTTGAGATATATTCGCTTCAATACTTAATTAAAGATATTTCATCATTTTTATATGAAGTAACTTTATTATTATATTTATTTCGAGTGTAAGGAAGACGGAAATATAAAATGAGAAAAATATCCTTTTAAATCAAAATTCTTTTCTATTAAAAAGATTTTTTATTTCCTAAACATTCCAGGTTGGCTGATTTTATATAACAATCATTTAGAAATTACTCTTGAACAACTAATTTATTTTTCCTTGAATTTGTCCTGTAAATTTTACTTTTTACAATTATCTAACTAATAGTAGTTGCGTTTTCTATTGCATGTTGTTGTTGAGATATTTACATTATATGATAAGTTCAAAAAGACATTATTCAATAGAAACAAGATTTTTTTATGAGATATTAATAATAATAGAAAATGACATCTAACCTCATATATAATGAAGTATCGCGAAACTTTTACTACGTGACACACGCATAGATTATAGGAAAAATGCATTGCTCATAAATTTTTTAGAACTACTTCCAGTTGTTTGAGCTAATTATATCATAAAGTTATAATTCACAAATAAGAAGTCGGAAAGAAATGCTTTAATTCATACTAGTAATAGATACAAAAGATAATTACGCAAAAGAATATCTCATTTAACGGAAAATGAACATTTTATGTATTCTGACATAACAGAATCGATTAATATAGAGTATGAATTTGTAGTTCATATAGTACTATAACCTATTTCATATGTTAATTACGGAAGTTAATCAAAAGAAACTCATACTTATGGTTGAAAACTAAATCAGATGTTAGAAAGTGTAAAGTACGCGTTCATATTTTTTCTATTTACCTGAATTTATCAAAAAGAGGTCAAAGAGTTATACAAAAGAAAAACTTAACTATTTTAAGATTTATATGCTCTTTTCAGAGAAGCATGCAGAATCCCTTTTTTCTAATCTTAAATTAACTTATTAACGATAAAACTTTGATCGAACCGATAAACAATTGAAGTCTAACAGATCGTAAATCGCTAAACTTAAGAAGAATGGGTCGCTTCGACCGACTATATTTTATGTAGGTCATAGTTATCGGAGCACTATTGATTGCTTTTGATTCCTTCCTACAATGTATGATTTTATACAAAAAATGTGCATCTTATTTGATAAGAACAACATTAATGATTTACTTTGATGATTATTTTTAGCCCATTAATTATACACAAGAAAAGAGTTTCAGGCATATGTTTAATGATCATTCTTATCGAATATTTTTGATGTCTTTCAACCGAAGATAAATATCTGAATAATAACAAAATATGAATTATCAAGATTTTTCAATATTAAGTTATATACAAATCATACCTTAAACTTTTACCATCGCGATCTTCTCCCAGACATATCTGTTTTATACTAATAAGAAGTTTGAACTGCATTTAAAGTGAAAGTATGCACATTTTATTCTATGATACTTTATCTGATTAATCTCGATAGTCTAGAAATATTTAAAAATAGAATAAACACGCTATATAAATCTATTCTACACATTGATCAGTTAATTGAACTTAACGAGTTCAATACACAAAGAACTATTGAATATAGTTTATGCAAGTATTTTAAATAATTAATTATTTTCAGGTATAATACTGTTATCGAATAATAAAAGGAAATAAAACATAATCACAAATAAATAAGATAATTCGATACATACTTACTTGATTAAATAAATGATATTTGATATCATTTCATAAAAAAAATCAAAACAACAATTTGATACTGATATGTATGATTGCTTTCAACAGCACTGTTAATTTGCAACACTAGCTACAAAAATCTATCAATGTATCTATATTTAGTTTCTATTATCAAATGTAACAAGATCGAAAATCATGATTTTCTTTCATTCGAGTTTGATGAATAGACATAAACTATTTTTCTATAACAAATCGGAAAATATTTTTATATGTCGCCGTCTCAGTTTGACATCGCATGCAATTGCATGATAAGAATAAACAATCTGATGATTTAACACTAAAAAGAAAAGCAATTAAATACGTCTTAACTAACACAGAATAAACTGAATGTCTTCCGATCGTGACTTAACGCATAGAAAGAGCATAGGAAAATGCATATTAGTGTACTATTAATAAACATTTAATAGTCTCGCAAGTACTATATTAAATTCTATCTAAAGTTTTCAAGCATAAGGAATAGGATATACATGCTCAATGCATAAGTATTTCCTTTTAATCTGTTATATCATTTTAACTAACAAAAGACATTAATAATATGATTCAGTTATTTATAGTTTCTCTTTTTTTGGAAATAAATCATAAAATCCTGTTTATGATATATAAGTCTAACGCATCATTTATTTCGAATAAAAGCATCAACCAGTGTTAAGATTTATTTTCTCAGTTTCTAGTAAATTTGTCATGCCTATATAGTATTGCAACAGGCCTTGATTATACATGTGTTCAGTTAATTGAATATAATGATGAGCATTAAGAAAAGTACTTTTATAATCATGACAGTACACGAAACGATAATAAGAAAACAAATTTGAATAGTGAAGAATCTAACATCATGTGCCTTCGGTTTAATATGTAGTTCACAAGAACTCAGAAATGTCAACCTATATATCTTTATAGAAAGCAAAAGAAACTAATGAGTCATACTATCTCCACACTTGTTATATATTATACAAGTATTATAGAGATAAACATGAGAAGAAAACTTCAATAAATGTAACTTTTTTTATTTTCAAAATTAGTAAATTAATGTCTATTTCAAAATATAAATAAATACAACTATATATATACACATTATCAAAAAGAAAGAAAAATTAAGTTTTATTTTCATTCAAAAAAATTATTTTCATAATAATCAATTAAATAGAGAATATCTGTTTCTTTTCCATTTAAATTTTCAATCATTGGAAATTTTAAATTTAATGGTCGATATTTATCAATAATTTCTTTATCAAAGGTTGATATTTGATGATCAATTTTATTAACAATTGCTTTAATAATATCATAACAAATAAATGTATCATCTTGATTTTCATTAGAATATTTTAATAAATTTTTATTTAATCCACATGATATATAACGTGCAATATGTGTTGTAATTTCTCGATGAATTAATGCATCATAATGCATACCATCTTTACAACGATGTTGAACACGTTTACGAAGAAGATAATGTAGATCAATAACTTGAAAATTATATTTTTTTGCTAATTCAGATGAAAATGTATTAATATGAAACATTCTAATACGAAGAAAATTTTTCTTGTCGGAACGTGTTTCATCTAAAACACCACGAGCATCTCTTGAAAATGGTGTCTATAGAAGAACAATAAAATAAGAAAATTAACTTTAACAAGAAATTTTTACTGCTGTAAGCCAAATAACAATAGTTTGTGGTGGAATAATTGAACGTATTGAACGAAAACATTCTTCAAGTAATTGTGCATACTCTTTTTCACTATTTTTTTCATATTTTGTTATATCCCATACAGCTAAAAATAGAATACTCTATCTTTCTAAGATAATGAACAAATATCTCCGTATTAATAAATCTTAGAAATGATAAGTACTGAAAATTTGTGTACACATATATAGTCTACTGACAAAATTGAGTGTTAAGATAATACAGATGAATAAAATCTATTTCGTTTTGAAATTTTATAACCAGAGAAAGAATTGATTTTATTATAGACAACGATATAGAATTGTAATAGTTTCCGCGTGATCGTTGATGTACGATAACTATGTAATGATTCAGTATGGTCATGTAGGTTTTTAATTAATCTATAGCAGTACGATCGATATAAGACGAAAGACTTTCATTGTTGGTCGAACTATCGTACGCGGAGAGTTTATCAATTGCGACACAATATTGATTCTAACGTATATTCTTAATGAGATATGTATACACAAATTTTCAGCATTTCAATACTTAAAATGACAGATATTTACTAGAGCGGAGAGATTTGTACATATATATGCAGGAGTATAATTTTACCAGAATTAAGAAGAATAATATCTGGTATAATCGATTTATTTTCTGCTATTTCACGTAATTCATTTCTCATTTGTCCACTGAAACATCGTGTTAAAAAAACAAATTTTATGAAATGTGTATTTGTTAAATAACAACGTCTTTCATAATATGATGTATCATTTGTTTTTTTATCTCCAGCTAATAATTGATCATTTAATGTTGACATATCATGATCATCTAATTTAGCTTTTAATTCATCACTTGTTAATAAACGATTTTGTCCTTGAATAAGTAAAATTATATCTTTATACATACTAAATATAAAAAATATAAATTTCATCTTTTAAATAAGAAAAATAATTTATTTTACTAACGAACGCATTCCAGAATCACCACAAAGGAGAACATATTTATTTCGTAATAAAGAATATAATGTTTCACTATCGATTAAATCCATTTTGAAATGAAAATGATTATTTTTTCATTAAACAAAGCTCAATTGCTAGAAGATGTATATATATATATATTTCTTTATAATTCCGTTCTTATTGTGTTAGTCGAATAAATTCTCTAATAGGAATATACAATTAAAAGAGATCACTACTTGTTTGATATGTATATAATTTTTGACTAAGAATTTGAATGAATAGAAATATATCAAACAAAAATCTCATCATTGTCAAATGTATGTTCAGATATAAATCGTTCAATTGTTTCAATAACTATTTTTTGACATTGATTTAAATAATGATAAATATCCGTTGAATAATAAATGCTTATTTCTGGTATTACCACCCCATTACAATCAGTTAGAATAGTATGTTGTAATTTTCTTGCTTGCAATTTATTATATAGATCGAAAGCAAAATCATAGACATTCTTAAAGAGATTATTTTAAATAAAAGTTATCGATATTTTTAATATATAAACTATTGTTAGTATTACTTTCGATTGAGTAAAAATAAAATTTGGACATAAATTTTCTTTAATAAGTTCAACAATATCTTTTGATAGTGTAAATGGATTATAATTTTTGATTATTGGATAATAACTAATAATTATTTTTAAATAAAAATGATGTGTACATATCTAGAAAAACATACGGAAAACATTTTGGTATAGAATAATCATTAAAAGAAGCTTCTATATAAGATGCATAACGTAAAAGATTTGTTTGTTGATCAATATCAAGTATATCCATAACACAATTTATATCTCCATTCAATGTTAAATAGAGTACTTCAACAAAAAATCTTTCAGAATCTATTTTAACATTAAACATTGTATCAAGAAATGATAAACAACAAACAGAATTAGCTGCTCGATTAATATACGTCGGTAATTTACCATTACAAAGACCATTAATGAATTTATTAGCAAAATGATTACAACTAAAATATTGATTATCAAAATTTTGAATTTCTTCTTGAAAATATCTAATTACTTATTACGTAAAAGATGATAAGAACTACCAGTAAATATTGTTCCTAATTCTTTTAAATAATTATCAACTTCATCTTTAGTCATATTTGTTCTTCCTATATCAAGTCCTTCTTGATAGATATAAGCAGCTGTTTTTGGAATTGTTGTAATAATACCAGTAAATTTAAATGGATGACCAATAAATGAATATTCTCGACCATAAACTTCAACAGCTGTATGATAAAGACCAACACCAAACAGAAGAGAAACACGATTAATACTTTCTGAAATTGAATAAATATGCAGAATGACTGATTCTGAACTCAATGGAATTATTATTGATTTTTGTGTCATGACTGATACACTCGGTTGATCAGTTACCCAACTGTCTTAATGTATTGAATACTCGATTAAGAGTAAACATACATTACCATACACGTATCAAAAATAAAACGATAATTTTTTTGTTGAATATAAAAATGCGCTTAGTAACAAAATAAATATAACATCTGGTTTAAGACTGATGTTTTTATTTGTCATTATCTCTTTTTATCTGATTATTCAAAAGAAAATTTCATAGGAAATTATTATTGAATGAAAATTTTTGTGTCAAAATACACACACACATATATTAAGAAACAGAAAAAGTAAAAATAAGAAAATTTTCATTTACATTGAATAATTTTTAAATAAAGAGTACATATTATTTAAGTTATCATCAATAAAAAGGAAAACGAATGACCAAAAAAGAAAAATTGTTCAGAATATTCAAAAAAAACAAAACAAAACAACTGTACATAATTAACTAATAATACAATCTTTTCTTTTTCGTCCTCCTCCTCCATTCGTTTTTTTATCTTTTTTATTTAATATTTCTGTTTTTTTCGTTAATGTTGAATTAAAGGATTTTTTTCCATGTCCATGTTCATCAACATAACTTATTTTTGTTCCAAAATTAGTTGGTCTCTTTAATCGATTACCATGAATATCATATTGACGATAAATAGAATCAAGATCTTCATCATCCTCATCAGAATCTGAAGATGATGACGATGATGATGAGGATAAACGTGTTTTATTTGATCGATAAGTAGGTAGTGGTGAATGTTTATGACTTGTCTCTTTTTCATCATCAACAAAACGAACATGATGTTGTTTTGTAAACCGTCCTGAACCATTTAATGAACGTGAACGCGGAAATTGTGTTGAATTTGTTGGATATGCAACTGATTTCGGTCGTGATATTGGATACATTACATCATTTGAATCAAGATTTTTATAACGATTTCTTGGTTGTTCACAATCAATGGATGTCTCTTGAGATATAATTGAATAATTCGGTTTATTTGAATTTATTCGTGATAATTTCGTACTTAAATCAGGTAGTGATGAACGTGACGTTTTTGCTGTTGAACAACGAGCAATTTCAAGTGTTGCACCATGACGATCAAGTTGTTCAAGATTTAAATCAGTATAAAGTTGTATTGGTTCACGTGAACGACTTCTTGATACATACATTTTTTGATGGCGATTTTTTAATATTGATTCAGGGGATGATTGAATTTGTAAAAATACTTGTGGTTTATCTTTATTATGATCTAATCTTAAAATTTCAAAATTAAAGAAAAAACTAGAATTAAAACAAAAACTAAAAGAATTATTGTTTTTCTTACTTTGGTTCATTTTGTTGACAATTATTTTTATATCTACGTGCACCATTTCCATCAGATAGATAACCATTATTAAAATCACGTTTATTATATTTACTAACATTAGCTCCATCAGAGATATAACCAGCTTGTTCCTTTGGTCGACTAGATAGAGAACGAAAATTTGACAATTGTGGTTGTGGTTGTTGTTGTAGTATGGGAGGTGGTGGAGGTGGAACGAAATGTTTTGAACGTCCTGGAACAATTCTTACATGTTGATTCGTATGTTTATGACTTGTAGGTATTAAATCTGGACTTTTATCATATTTTTGTTGTTGAATTAATTTTGTATGATTAAAACGATTATTACGTTGTAATGCACATTCATTTGAACAAAAAAGTGCACCATAACGAGGAAAAAATGCACGATTTAGAAGTGGTACACGACATGTATAACAATAAAAACAGGCATCTGTAGCATGCCAATGTTGAGATTCATGTGCCATTTGTGCTTGATCAGTTTCAATACGTTCACCACATGTATCACAATATTCAGCATACATAGTTTCAAAACAATTTAAACAAAATGGTTGACTTTGACGCATAACATAACGTTCACCACCTAAACGTTTTTTACAATTTGAACAACCAAAATGATCCATATGCCAACTATAACCTTCAGCTTCTGTACATTCATCACTGAAGATAATCTAAGATAGAGGAAAAATAAAGAGAATAATTAGTTTTTGTCATTCTCATTAGTCAATTCAATATATATAGGGAGATAATCATCATCCTTATCATCGATAACAATAACCTCGCCTATCTATTACTCAACTATTCACTACATTTACAATAGTCCGAAGAGGTAAACATATTGTCTGGTCTGACATGTAAACACACGTACTCATCAAACAAATGTCTAAATGTTCATAGTGTAAATACTTTAAATGTGTCATCACTCCATACCTTATATCGATGTGATGATAATAGTCTTCTATTCATATATATGTATTATGAAGAAGAAAAAAAGAAGAAGGCAACTAATAATATTTTATTGTTTTATACATAGAATGTCTACCTATATTACTATCTATGATCATTATATAATCAATTATAGGTTTTTTTTGAACGACAACTGTTCTTTTCTTATTAATCATCTGTCCAGGTTTTTCTTTTTCTCCTTCTTTTCTCTTTGTTTAATAATTTGTCTAATTCGTTTTACATACTTCATCACATGCTGTACATCTTGGTTTATATAATTCAGCATGATGTCGACCACAATAAAGTAGACCATCTTTACAAAAATAAATTAAATTAACAAGAAATTCTTTGCATTGTGTACAAGTAAAACATTGTGGATGCCAAAAACCAGTTCGATTAGCACGTTCCGCATAAATACATATTGAACCTGAATCAATAGACTTTTGACACTAAACAACAGGAGAAAAAAAAATGAATATCAATTGTATTCCTATAAAATTCTTATAATACATCTGTTTGTGTCTTGTATCTTATATTTATTTATCATCATCACTATTGAGATATCTGTTTTTGATTTCATGCTGAGTGCTATCGATCAGTATATAGTAAATGTCAAGCACACTTGGTGTTTACTATAATCAGTGAACTTTACGTAGAAAAGAGGGAAAGGAATGTTTTATTTTTTTTTCGTGATCTAATTGAATGTAATTAACTAGTTCATCGATTGATGATGATTTTCTTACATCATATTCGATCATTTTTCTACGGTCGAAAGCTTCGATCATTTGACTAGTTCGGTTTTTTTTTCTTCTTCTTCAGATGTTCAATTTCGAAATATGATATACGTTCTCTCAACTACCGTCAATTTTCTTCTTGTTTCGTAACACATATTTGTATACATGTATACGTGTGCTAATCTTTCTTCATAGCAACAGAAATAACAAGTAACATTATTCTTTAACTTACACCACGACATGGTATAGGAGATTGTGTGAGTGGCAATTGTTTAGCAACACCACGAGCAAGTGCATTATGACGTTGTTGATCATTAAATATTCGTAATTCATTTTTTTCATCTTCACTCAATGAACGACAATATTTAGGATCAGAATCATGTGGAGGCAATTGTTTTTCAAGCATTTTCTTAGAAAAAATAAAAATAATATTTATTATTAGAAAAAATAATTATTTTCTTTTATAAAAACTTACCATTCGATATTTTTCACCAATCGAATTTAGAAATGGGACTTTGTCTTCTGGAAAACATTTAAAAAATTGCCGAACCTTAATTAAATGTATAAATAGATAAATAATGTGCTATTAATTAACTTTACTTGTTCAGCTTTGAGACCAGCTGGACACCAGGCATATTCTTCGAGTGCACAACCAGAATCATCATCACTAGTTGATGAACGAGAATGTTGCTGCTGTTGTTGTTGTTGTTGTTGCTGATGTTGCGGCTGTTGAGGAATCATTTTATTTGAAAATGAATGTACTATTGGTGAGATCAATTGAGCATCGGTACACACTCTACGTAGAACAGTAAATGAATGAATACAAAATAATACAAGCAATTCATCATGTCTGAACAATGTATGTCTCGTACGCCTAGCGAATAAGACGGAGGAAAAGATAAATCTCTGTCATTTTTCATAAGACATAAGAACGAAAACGATGTATTGTACTACTAAATCATCAAGATAACATGTTGAACTTTTGAGAAAAGAAAAGAATGAAATAACAATGGTTACATTGAAAGGTGTTGATCAAAGGTTAAAATAAAAAAATTTATTTACCCTGTCACATAAGCACCAAGTTTCAAGAACAATTTGATGGTCATATTCTCAATATATGAATTGATATAGAGAAAAACGACAGTTATTTATGTAGACAATAAGAAAGAGAGGGAGAGGGAGAGGGAGAGAGAGAAAGTCAAGAAAATAGTTCCGTATATGAATTAAGACAATTAAATTACCGAAAGAATCTATCCGGGGTGTAAATAGATAAACATTGTTCAAATAGTTTGCATAGATAAAAAAATGGTTTACAATCAGTAACGTTAAGTGCATATGCGAGAAAAGCTAATCAAGCGGAAATATGCAAGCAACTTTCTTTTTTTTTCTATTTAACAAATTTTTAACTACCCTTACATATATATATGTATATAACTTTAAAGTTATGATGCAATCAATAAGTTGAACAGATGATTTCTTTTAGAGAGGACAATTTCTAAATAAGAAATGAAAGAAAAAAGAGTGAATAAATGAATAAATTTCCTATATGATGGGTGGTATTGAGCTTATAAAATAGCGAAACAAAATTCTTTTTTCTCTTGATCAGAAACAATAAATGAGAGAACTGTATGCTTATCCGGAATAGAGAAACGAGAGAATAGATTGACGTTAGTGGTAGAGAAAAAAGCAACTAATTAACGATAATCATACAGTATTGTTACTGCGTATGGATATGATTGCGTGCATATACAGCTTGGAACTATACATAATATAAATGAACTTGTTCTTATTTCATAACAATAATGATTAGAATATGGAATAAATAGTTTAGTAAATGAGCTTTTTTTTGTTCTTACTTTTATCTAGTTTTGTCATACTGTAAATATTGAATTTTCTTTGTTTTCTATATAAATATATCTTTTTCTCGAATCTGTTGATAAAAAAAAATGTTGTAAATTCCAACGTAAGAATGTTTAACACAAGCAAACTGGACGTGTGTGTGTGTATAAAGAACGACACAATAGTACTCGTTCAACAACGACTGATCTAATCGTTAGAAAAGAAAGAAAAGTTATACAGCGATGTTTAGCCTACTGTACAAACAAAAATGATATTAGATTGTTCGTTGGTTTCGTTCTCTTTTCATATACACTCGCCTCTTTTCAACTATCGTCGCGTCGAATATTCAAAACTTGCGTCTTCGCTCATCAATTGTATATACACGAGTGTAATAAGAGAAGAGGGAAAGAGAGACAGAGAGAGGGAGAAAAAGAACATAGGCAAGAGAAATAAAATGAGTAAAGAACGATTGTTCAACGACTCTTTCTTGGTTTGTACAAACATCTGCCGAAAGGCGTAATATACATAGGTGATGACAATCACCACACTTTAATATGTCTCTCTCTCTCTCTCATCTACTTCATGCGAGTCTCGTTCATTTTCTGTTGTCAATCGCGAACGTTATCGTTTCCGCCCCTTTTGGTCATCAGTTCTACTAAATCAAAAAGAAAATGCATGACGACAGCTTTTTTTTTTATACATTATTATTACAAAAGAAAACGAATAGTATTTAACTCTTGACTTACCTGTTTTTTTTCTTTACTTAAAATATAGTAGAGTGGATTAAAGAGGCGGATAACGTGTCAATATACATATATATGTACCTACACAGACGTGTGTCAATAAGAAGTTCTTCACATATTTATAATAAGACGATGTGAATTTGCATATAGAATAATCTTGATTTTATTGAATTTTTATTCCTTGTTCTTTGATGTCGACATAAGAGGAAGCTTTTTTTCTTCTTTGATGAAAAAGAAGAACACAGCATTCTAAGTCATCAAATGAAATATAGAAAAAAAATTTCTTATTTTGTTAAATGACGTCCTTGAATGTGATACATTGTATTTATTTCAAACGAATACTTTCAAGTGCTTGGTTGGACAATCTTTTTTACAATTGTAAAAAAGAAAACCTATCGGAACTATTTGTTCTTTACTTAAGCTTTGATGCATTTTATACCTTAGAGCCAGATGGTTGTCAATCATAATGCTTTGATGATTGGGAGTATTCGCAGGGGTATTGATCATTAAACCATATGTAGTTATATTCGTCCTCTTGATACTTATTGTTGATTTAGAATATATTCAACAGAACTGTACATATATGGAAATAGACTAAGAAGGATTCATACACCAGAAATAAGATTAACTAAATAAATAGACATGTGCAATCATCATGAACGATCAATTCATTAAAGCGAGATAAACCATACTGTACACACACACATATTTGACCGATTGACTATTAGACAATATGAGAAACTATTTATCATAATCAATATGTTATCGAATAGTGACGATATATTAGAATTTTTTGTTTATTTGTTAATATTTTTAGAAATATATGTATAATTAGCAAAACATGTATTGATTGTATTCAAATTTACTACTATATGTTAACTGTATCGAATTGAGTCATTATGAAAAAATATTTTGTATCCCATAGCATGTTAATTAAAAACATGTGTGTTTGTGTAGAGCCAAGGGCAGAGAGAACTATTGTATTTTTTTTATATTTATGATCAATATATTCTATCGATTATGACTTAATATTATGAAAGAGAATATTTGTCAATTTTGATGATATCTACTAAATTAGAATTCAAATACGATAGATTCAATTATAGATTTAAAGAAGATAATGATCGAACAAATTTATTAATTTTCTTTTTCTTTTAACATAACAAAGAAAAATAAACAATATCACAGAACAATATCTTCTATTTCATCAGTTGTTTCTAATGATTGATTGTCTTGTTGATGATGAGTTTGAAGTTGCGATTCATTTCGATGTAATATTTCTCTTAATGCCATTGTTGCATATGAAGATTTCGGTAATGAAAATCCAAGAATTAAACCAGTATATTTATTTAATTTTGGTGTTACATCTAAATAAATATACATATATATGACAAGTAACGCTCGTCCAAGGACTCGCTTAGCTCTTTCTCGTAAAAGTGCATTCTCTTCACATTTACTGGAAAACAATTGAAAACCGTGGAAAATAGGTTTGTGATGTTTTTTTGACCTCTCCAACCCCTAGCCATGGTCACTGAACAGACCTCAGATTCAAAGTCCCTGCATTGAAGTACCTCAAGAAATGTCTTTTCCGAGAAATTGGTGTTCGATGTTTTTTTGACCCTGCGGACATACAAGAAATCAGACAATTTATGTTTACTAGATTCTTCTCTACGAGAACGAGAATATTTAAAAAAATGAATTATTTATTTACTATTTTCATTATTCATTAATCGATCATAATCACTTTTTAATGGATCATCATCTATATTATCATAAGAAACAACTTTATATTCAATTTGACCAGGATGTATAAGAAATTGTCTATAATTTCCAGGTAAACTATAATCTTTTACATGATATTTCATTTGATCAATATTAATACCATCTTCATTTAATAAATCACGATACCATGAATGAATATCATTCAATGGATATTTAATATCATAACCAGGTAATGGTAAAACAATTTGTTCAAGTTTAATATTATTTCGATTTGTTTCTGTTACATATACAACATGATTATCATTATTTATATCATCGATATAAAGATCACCAATAAGTATTTCATTTCCATATGTTATTAAACGTCTTGAAACAATTTTATTCCATATCATTGATTGATATGCATGTAAATAGAGTAAACGTGTATTTCGCGGTATAGATGAAAGTGCACCAATTAAATTTGTTGGACCATTATTTTGTAAACCGCGAAGAAGATCAACTTCAATTGAACGACGATATGGAATTGTACCATCAAGTATTGTTTTTATATCATGTGTTTTATTCCATTGATTTAATAATTGACGAAGCCATTCGTGTGTTATTGTTTCATCATATGCTAATATAGCATCAATAGCAAGTGACCAGTCATGTCGGAGTAAATATCTTTAAGGAAAATCGAAATGAAAGAAAAATCGATTAAGAATACAATTTACTTTCCAACTGTTTGTGTTGCTAATGTACGCGAACCAAATCGTTGTAAACCAAAATAATTAATAAATCCTTTTTCCATCAAATTATTAACACAAATTTTTATTTGTTCATGAGAATTAATTGAAAGATTTCTTAAAAAAAATTAATTAATTATATATATAGTTAGCGATTTTCTTCTTATTTAAATTACCGAACAAATATTTCAAAACGATTTCCTTGTAATTGACCAAGACGTAATGGAGTTTCACATAATTGAAAATTTCCGACTTTTATAGCAGGTAAACGTTGATTTATATTTTTAAATTTAATTGGTAATACTCTATATAGATAAAAATATATTGAATTGTGATTTTGCTTTTCATATTAATCTCTATTTACTTATGAATTGTTACTTCTTGACATGTTTTACCACGTTTATCTTTTATACCAGCATATTGAAATAATGATGTATTCATACTAACGAGAAAACAAAAAGAATGTATTAATATCTGTTCGAAAAATTTTATTAAGAAAGATTTTCTTTACTTTAAACATGCTGCTATTGATTGAATAGCATCCATTGTATCTCGATTTTCTTTATAAAGAACAAATTTAATATATGGTTTCGTTTTATCTGGCCATTGATCAGTTGATCGACGTATTTGTTTGCCAATCGCTAAAATATGAATAAAAACAATCATTAGTATTTAAATTTTAAATAGAATCACTCATTCACGTTGATATGTTACTTGAATCGAATTATTAATTAATTCACTTTTAAGATTAATATCAATTGAACGAACAAAGTGATGTATAGACGTGCGTTGTTCTTTTGTTAAATTATCTAAAAATGCAAATAAAGAAGTTTGTTTTTTTCTGGTATCTTTCACTTACCACAAGGAATAGAAATTGTATCTTTATCATGTGTTTTTGATAAAGTTTTCATACGCTCAATGGTTTCTTCGTCAATTGGAACATCCTAGATAATATTGAAATTTATCCTGAAATTTATTTTTGTAATTCGAACTATTAATGAGGTAGGTTTATGTGAATCAAATTCTGGACATGATACATCAGTTAGATGAACAATGGAACCATTCGTTGAAATTTCATTGACAAGAAAATCCGAATAACTATTTATAAAATATAGAAAAAACAAAAATTGTTTTTTTATAGAAAATTTTACCGATATTTAATTATGCCATCAAAACCATCATGATTTGATAGGAATTGAGTAATGCCAACAGTTTCTTCTGGATTGTTATCTGGTGAAGGATCTAAATATGATTAAAATCAAAGTCTACAATTGTGACATTGCCTTTCCTTGCATAAGGATATGTAATGAACTGAAGTTTTTTACTTAAATTATCTATAGGTAAGTTTTCAAGAACAGATTTTTCTGTGTAATTAGTAAATTCGGATTCACTTGTCAGATCTTTGATATTAAACTTAGAATTACTCACATATTTATTATACGAGAACAATTACGATATACATGAAAATACAAGTGAACTATTGTTTATTTTCATGGCTAAGTATTTCATTAGTAAAAATTCTTATGACATATTTTGGAAATATATTGAGTACTCTTATTTTTTTATCATATACATACCTGGTCGAATTCGTTTTCGAACTGGTTCATCAGTACTTTCTGTTGGTTTTCTATCATCTGAATTCATCTAGAAATCTATTACCAAATAAGTTTATTTTTTGCTTCTTTTTTAACAGATCAAAAGTTTATAAATCTCTTGTAAAACTAATACAAATAAATGACACGAAAGAAAAAAAATAAGAGGTTCACAAACAGGTTAATGATATAAATTTATATATAGTTAATATTAATGAAAATAAAATAAACAATCACCATAATCATATTGTTTCTTCTGGGATAGATACATTCAGATCTTGAACTAATGAGCCAATATTATTCAGTGATGAATCAGCATTTATACTATCATATCGTTGTATACGATTTCCATCTTCATCTCTTGTTTCAATTTTTGTTCCACAACTATTATAGAATATTTCACTTTTCGTTCGGATAACTCTTGCTGTAGTATCCGGTTCAAGAAATTCATTTAATGCTTCTTCAACTGTTCGATCTGGTCGACAATTCTAAAACAAATTCAATAATTAATTTCATATAGTTTTTCTTCTTCTAACCTTTGGTCTTTCACGATGTGTATTAGCAGCTTCGATTGGTAATGGTATACATTCCATAGTACAACCATATGCCATTGGTGTCAGTTTAATAATTGTATGTAATGGAACTTTTGTATAGGGAAGATCTTCTATGGAAACGATTTTAAGCAATACTACTCATTTAGATTACAACACCTTTTATTGCTTACCAGCATCTGTATCAAGAAAATAACTAAGGATACAACGTGCAACAGCCTGATGACAAACAACAAGTACATTTTCAGCTCGTTCTAATTCCATAATAACTGGTTCGAGACGTGCAACAAGATCTTGATAAGACTAATAGAATAAAATTAAAAAATATATGTATTTTGTTTTTAATCAGATTTTCTTTTACTTCTCCCCCTGGATAGCGATAATAAAATTTTGATTGATCCCGAGCAGCAAATTCATCTGGAAAACGTTCAGCTATTTCCACATATGTTAAACCTTCACATATACCCTAAATAAAATCATAATTTAGTTAAAATTATTCATTGAAAACAATAATTTTCAATTTACAGCATTGATTTCATTTAATGCTTTCCATTGTTCTTTTGGAGCATTAATTTTAGCTGCTGTTTCTATAGTTCGTTGCATTTGACTTGTCCAAACAATTAAATCAGGAATATTTTCTATTTTTAATTTAAAATAAAATAAGTAAAATACAATATAAAATCATTTCTTTTGTTTTTATTTACCATTATCCATATATTCTGCTAATGCTTCCGCGTACTAAAATAAATGTAAATATTTGAAAAAATATCTTTACTGACAGATAATTCTAACTACTTTGAGACTGAAAATATTCTAGAAAAACTTTCATTGGCTATATAGTCTTTGAATTTGAACGTAGATCGATGGATAAACGTCTCATTATTAAATGCAAATAGATTGAGTTTTGAAGAGAAGTTACTCATAAACATCACCTATTCATTTAGTATGATGGGAACTATCTATATGAGTTAGTTTTTTGTAAGCATTAATTAAAAATAATGAATGGATGTTCATTTAATATATATCTTTTTTTCTATGTTTACCGATATTATAGTTTGAGAAAGATTCATTCATATATGAAGATGAAAATTTAATAAAGATTATCAATATGTATATAGTAACAATTAGCATGATTTCTCGAATCAATACCTATGTCAAATCTTTAATACCGACTATAAAGACTACTATTGATCTAGTTTGTTTCATGATATTTCTCTGACTTTTTCTTTTTATCAGACATCTTAAACTAACCAGTTCTGTAATTTTTCATAATTAATAGTATAAGAATCTACTAATCTCTCATTATTAAAGTCTTACCAATTTTCCATTCCTTGACAATGGTGGATCACCACCAATACGATGTTGTTGATTTAATTCTGATTCACCATGCTAAAAATTCCAAAAATTTAAATAAAATAATTGTTCGTAAATATAAATTACTCGTGTTAAATAAATTGTTCTTGGTAAAACATGAATATTCATTAGAAAATAAACAACACGACTTTGAATATGACCTAGACAAAAAGAAAAGATATGTATAATATATATTTCAATGAAATTATTTTCTTTATACCTCCAATTTTATGCACAAGAAATCGTTCACCGCAATTAAATATTTTTATAAATGAATAATTATTTTCTGTTTTATCATCAATTGTTTCATAACGTTTTTCATATTGTTTAATACGAGACAGAAAATCTGAAGCTGCTTCGTCTTGTGGAACTGTTTTATAATCAGGACTTTTTAATTTCACTTCCTAAATAAGAAGAATATTTTTTTCATTCGATTGAAAAAAATAAGAAGTTTAACATACTCGAATATTAGCATCAATTATATCCACTGAATCACATATGGATTCAACAAAAAACACACGAAAACAAAATGTATGTGCACAATAATCATAGATAACTCGACGACGTTCACGTGTTGTATTTGTAGCATCAAATATAGCTACTTCACCTTCATCAGCTAAATAATTACACATATCTTCAAGAGCATTCTGAGCACAAAGACTAGAAAAAAAATAATGAATTTAAAACTTTGAATCATTTCAAACAAAAAATAATATATACTTTCGAACAGCTACTGCTTCAGCATTATCAGGATCAAAAAAGTCTTTGTCAGCATAAGATTTAACAACATCACGACGATATTCACCAACATTAAATACTAAAACAATTGAATACATTAAGAAATCTAATATCTTTATAAAGATTTGTTTTTAGCACCTAACAATGAGATATGATATTTTATCTATAGATTTTGTAGAGTGTTTTGTATTACGAGAGTATGTGGAATATATTGGATTTTGCCTAATCTACTAATGCATCTCCATTATAGGAAGATTTGTTTTGTCATTAGATAAATTTCCGTGCGAGATTTTTCCACTTAATTTCAGAACTTCTATCCTTCTAGAAAAATAGTAATTTAACATTGAATAAACTTCCGTTTATCTAATTAAGTTTTATAAATTCAAACGAAAAGTATTTCCGACATTTTCTATAGCTTGAAAAAAGATTATATGATAGGCGTTAATATTTATGGAATGACGATTAATGCCTTGTTTTCAGATTTCTATACGTTATCGTTTGATACATCGATATTGCCTATTTTGAATAGTATTACATGTAAAAGGTCATTATAATCTATGTTTTTTCTTCATAAGAACCAATATTATGTGATAAAAATATTTGGTTTTTTCGCTTCATATATTTTCTAAGAATATTATATATAATTATTCAAGTAATCTGATAATATATTCATGTCAAGAAGAAAATATTATCGAACAAGATTCAGCGAACTTTATTTGCATAAAGAATAAGAGACGAAATAGAGTTAACTCATGATTTATCAAAACTAATTCCTCTTATTTCTACTCATCAAATATATATCATATAACTAGTTTTTATTATTTATCGTGTGGTTTTCTTTCAAGTACATCTTTGAGTAAATAGTATCAAAAGCTTAGTGTTAATACTTGAAAATATCAAAAAGACATCATTAAGTTGATTCAATCTAATAGCATTTAAATATATATATTCATACCTTTGGTTTTTATTCCAATCCAATGTAAATAACGTGCCAATTTTTTGGAGATATATGTCTTTAATTAATTAGAGAAAGTCAAAAAATAAAATCCAAAATAATTATTTAGGAATATCATACTTTGCCTCGTGCTGGTAATCCACACATAGCCTGAAATATATTATAGAAAAGATATAGATAATTATAGAAAAATGTTAACATACAATAACAGTTGGTGTTCGTACAAGTCGATCTCGACATGCTAAAAATTTGAAGAAAATCAAAATTTTTATTTTTGTACTGATAAAAAACAATTTATATTCTAATTTTTGATTTATTTCATTGTATTTTTTTTGTTTCGCACGAAAAAATAAGATCATATTACTATACAAACAGAAAATGATACCTTGACACGATAATAATATAACAAGTACAGGTTAAATTAGTAATAGATTCTTTCCATTAACTTACCTTGACTCATTCGTCTTCTAAGTCTAAGTGGATTACGATGAAAGGCGAGTGATTGACGTTTTCGCCATGCGTTGATCTCAATTTTAGCTGCATTTGGATCGGTCATATGCATAGTCTTTGGTGGTTCTTCATCATAAACATCATCATTGTCCTGATCTTCTTGATTTTCCTCCATAATATTCTTGTTATTCGACATCGTTTGATTTCGTTTTATAAGGTATATAAATGGGCACGTATAGTTGACAGATGGTCTTCTCTCATAAACGAATAGTCAATTAAATCAGATATATATATATATATTTTCTTACCAATCAGACAGCCACTCAACAATAATATCGATGTGTCGATTAGAAAAAAAAATGATTGTCGTTTTTTTTTCTTCTTGTTTTTCTCTCGTTTCTTCTTCTTTTCTTTTCTTTTCACGATTACGCGTCCAGATTTCTAGATGCTAAAGGCAAAATAAAACTTCAAATTAACGTTCACCTTATTGTTTTTATAACACTTAATTATATATTATATCATAATTAAAAGTTATTATTACTTCAAGAATTCAACTAAATTGATACAAAACATTTGATAAGAATATTCTTCTATGGCTTTTTCTTAAAACGAATAGAAACAGTAAACATACAAACGATATATTTATTGTATTGTATTCTCTTTTCTTCTGTAAGAAGAACGAAGAACTAGGAATAATTTGTCTAAGAATACATTATAAGATTTTTTTTCTCAGTAGTTCTCTATTTATCCATGTGAAAGACGGTATCTGCCACATATATTTTCGTATTCTTTCCTGTTATCACGTGCCAATATATAGCGTGAAAAAGAAGAAAAAACAAGCCTGGAAGCGAATGAAAGTATCATGAAACCCATAAAAAAAAAATCTTTTATTTAACTACCAACTTTTTTTTTATTACGTAAATAATCAACAAAATACCAGACATTATGTCCGATGCACTTAGAAGTGCACATGATTAATAATACTATTTATATATTCATCGATTTTTTATATATTTTTTTTCTCTAATTTCTTGCTTCGTTGATTTCAACTAACGTCATACTAGTGATTCAAGTTGTTTATGTACTGGCTATAAAAAACTATGATATAGAATCAATGTGACCCCTCTCTATATGTAAAAAAATATGCATATATATATATATATAACAAATAAATCAATACAATATATATGTAAATAAAAGAATCAGAGCAGTGCTTAAAGCAAAAACAAAATATTGTTTTGAAATAGTTACCTTTTGATAGCACAGGAGCATGTTGATATGGGTGCACATATTGTGAGCGTTTTGATAATACATTAAGATCACGCGAACTAAAATAACAATAATCAAACAAAATATATATAGTATTCAATGATCCGGTATTAATAATTGTAGTAAAAAACACAAATTATGTTTTCTAAGCTATTTTAATACTATTATTTAAAAGAAAGAATTATTCAGAATAAAAATATAATCATGTATAATTGATTTACTTTCACGTTAATATTTTATGTTAAATTCACTTGGGAAATTTATATTGATAAATGTCAAAATTCTTTTAATACTGTCTAATCTAAGACGATTAGATGAACACACAAGGTTTTTTACAAAACAATGACATTTTCTATTTAATTTAAAAAGATATTTATCGAAGGTTTTATGTAAGTCATGTATTGAATATTTTATCGATTTGTGTACTTTCAATTCGTGAGAAAAAATACAATCGAACGATAGATAAACGTATGACCTCGATGTAGAAGCATTTTCTTTTTAATCATCAAGGTTATATTTTTATCTTTTTTAGTTTTATCATCTAGCATACCAATCAATACTTGTATTACATGTACTGAATTTACAAAGGTATAGATTTAGTCATTCATGCCATGCTATCAAAAGTACCTGTTAGTTACATCTGTTTAAAATCACATGAAATCAAAAGGATGTAATTCAATACAATTGGCTAATAATAAATTGAAGACTTTCGAGATTCTAATCAAGATTCTTTACTAAGCTTCAATTGAAATTAAAATATGAAACAAAGAATCTGAACAATACAATACGCTTAAAAAACAATGTCTTCTAATAATAAAATATGTCATGATGACATTTGCTAGAAGACTTAGATATTCAGTTATCCAAACAAAAATAGATTTGCAGCTAATGTTTATATACAAAACTGAGTGTAATATTTTTTCAATGTGAATCTGATGGTTTGATATTATGGAACTAAAAATCTAAATCTTCTAACAAATATGCATAACGTTTAAAAATTTATTTTTATCAAATGATATGCTAAAAAAATTCATATCAAGAAGTATTCGAATATATTTACATATAACTAAAATCCTGTTTTCATATTCAACTCGGTTTCAAACTATGAATTTTTGTCATGCTACTCGTTTATTATAAAGTCATTGAAGAGTCTAAACAGATTTCTCTAATTTGATCACGTAGTATATACAGATAAGATTTATTAGGTGCGAAATTGCGTCTAACTATTTATTTTCTGACATTAGAAAAGATAATAAAAATTACAGTTAATATTGACTTTTTTTCTGTAAAATAATCAATAAAAATAGCAAAAAACATGATTGTTTATCACTTTTATCATATACCAGATGCTACATATTGATTCAAAAAAACTCGCAAATCAATTCATAACTTTCTAACAATTGACATTACTGAATTTGTACATTAAACTATTTATGAAATACTTACATTATCATTATTATATTAATTTTGTCTGTCTTGTTTAAATGATAATCTGAATTGAAGTAAAAAGAATTATTTATCAAAAAAAAAAAACAAAAAAAAACGTGTAATAAAACTATCTATTCATAATTGTTAAATATTTATATTTACATAAAATAAAAATAGATTTTTCAACAAAGCAAATTAGAAAAGAAAAAGAATCGTATTAATCAAACAAAAACTGTCCGTTTTCTCTTTTTTTGTTCCATAAAAAGAAAAAACAATAAATATATTCTCATATTTTGCTATTCATACATTTTTCAGATTTTGTTGATTGTTCAATATTCACAAGATCTTTAACTAATGAAAGTATATTTTCATTATTACGATGAAATTTTGTTTGTGATAATTCTTTTTGTTCAATAATATCATATGTTACTAAATAAACTAGAAAAGAGCAAAAAATTTAATACGAAAAGAAACAAAAAAGAACAATTCACCTGGATCATAATGTAAATTATCATAGAGAAGAAAAACTCGATAAGGAAAATGTTTATCTTCACCAAAATGATCAATTCTTCCACCAGATTCGGTATTAATAACACAAATTTCAATTTCATATTCTTGTGTTAAAATAGCTAATTCAATTCCTCCACCCCATGAATCATCTAAAGATATTTTTTTCATTTTATTTTATATAAAATCAAATTTTATTTTAATACCTCGACGAATCCATTTACAATAATCGACATTTGTTCTACCTAATATAGCATCCGTATAAGTTATTTCATCCGATTCAATTTTTGTTGCAACTAAATTACGTAAATATTTATTCGATGATAAATTTAATTTACCATTATTTAAAACAAAATCAATGGATGTAAATAAACAACTATTATCAGATGGTACTGAATATTTTATTAATTGACCAATTGTTGATACATTTTTATTTGTTGTACTTGATTCTTTATTTGTTGTTAATGATAAATTTTCATCGTCATCTTCTTCTTCTTCATCTTGATAAATTATTATATCACTTAAATCTATATAAAGTTCTTCATCACTTGTTAAACCATATTTATCTAATACATCAAAATGTGTATTATTCAATGGATATAATAATGAACAACCATTGGGTCCATGACGATAAATCGATATATGTAATAATTGATGAATTGTTAAATGAAGATCATCAGCTATTTGTTTAATTAAATCAAGAATTCTATATCGTGCAGCTATTTGTATTCGATGATATTTATTTTGTTTAAGACGAATTAGAATACGTAATAGAGGACCAGCCATTCAATAGAAAATTGTAATATTCACAAGAAATTATTGTTGATATGATCGGTTACGATATATGACAAAATATGAATTATTTTATGAACGAATTATATTCAAGAGTATTATTGATTCATCTAAATCAAAGAGTTAAATAGAAAAAAATAATTTTCGTAACTTTTATGTAATCTAATTCATCAGAAAAATAAATAAACATATTTGTTATTTGACAGAAGAAGATGTCAGCAGATGTTAATAAAAAAGAAAAGAGTCATGGATGACTCATACTTTAATTATTTATTTTTGTGGTACTTATTATTATTCTGTTAGAAGGACATTGACAACTTTTTTTATATTTAAAATATGAATTCTGCAGATATAAATATAATTTATGCATTGGCCATTACGAAAATCTCTTCATAATCTGGTAAGATTAATGTTATACATATCTTTGAGAATTTATTTTTTAAAATCATGTGCACATGCGCGATCATAGTGAATAAAATACGAAACAACACAAGCAACAGTAATATTTTTGTAAAAAAAATAGCAATTTGTTCGATTTTCGAAAAAATTAATTTACTGTCAATGTCTATTAATTGAATCTTGAAAAATTAGACGAACAAATGGTTTGGTTTCTGATAATGCAACTAAACAAAATGGACATACTAATTTTAAACCTTTTGTTCCTAAAAAAATAATACAAAATGAATATTTTTTCTTTGTTCTATTGAAAGATTTTCTCACCATAAGGTATTTTAAGTTTTGACCAAAATAACGCTGTAGATTGTGAAGTCATATGTCCACATGGATGAAAAGCATGCGATGTTGTCGATTCAGTATTACTACTTGGTTTAACATAAAATGCTGATTCTAATCCAGGTATAATTGGTATTAATGGACCAACTGTTCGACAAAGTGGACATTCACGTGATTGTGTGTTATTATTTCTAACACCCCATTGATGATTACCATGAACATGTCCACATAAAACATAAACATATGGATTAGAAAAATTTGTTAATAAAGATGAAAATGGTTGACTTTTTATAACTAATGTATGTAAACCAACGGGACATTGAGGTTTTTTTGAATTAAGTTCATCTAATTCACTTTCAAGAAAACGACGAGTCTAATTTTTAAATGAAATTTTAGTTTTTCTTCTATTTTAAAAACAAATTATACATACAGGTGTATGTTCAAGACCTTCAACTGATCGCCAAAGTAATGTTGCTCCACATAAATCAATAACTGTTCCATCTTTTAGAATATTATCTGTTTCCGAAGGTGACTAAATAAATATTATCATATCGTCTTTTCATTTATTCTTTCAAAATACTTACTACTGCTTGATAATTAAATTTAAGTCGTCCTTCACCTAAATCAAATATATTTCCACCAACTGATACTTCTTTCCATTTAGTTGGCTTAGAATTTGAATTAAATTCCTCTCCATCAATATGCATTACTAGAATACCATTTGTTGTAACACCATCCATTTCATTACGACTATTTTTCCATTTTATTGATTTTTCCTAAATGAAAAAAAAAACAAATTCGAACACAAACAGATCAATTAAGCAAAAAAACGAATTTCCTACTCCAAGAAAAATATTTTTTGAATTATCAAAACCAGCAGCATATATACGAGCTGTATATGGTGGATGACGAGATATAACAATACGACATGAATAACGTGAGATAGTCGATTGTGCAACATTTAATTCATCGAATGTTTTTGCTCCTGGTACTGTATCCATAACAACACAATCAATTTGACTTTCCGATGATCGACCAATTTGAAACATATCTGAATTTTCATCATGTGTATATTGAACAACAATAGTACGATTTCTTGCTAATGTATATGAAATTGAATGAAAATCAGCTTCTATTAATTCCTACAAACAAATAACAATATTCATTATCTATGATTAACCTATTATTTCGTTTTCTTTTTTTTTTCTTTATATCACGAATATATATAGAATCATATGATTATTTGAAATCTATTGATTACTCAATGATTGTTTTACACGTAATACACGTATAATCAATCATCACTCGTCTGACAATTATTTTATAACGATTACACACATACGATTACATGAACAATGTTCATTTTTACCTAATAATTTTCTTTTTCTTTTTTTGCTAACGTCATGTCTCTATATGCACTTTTGGAATGAATTAAGTTATTTTTAATATAACATATTAACATTTTTGTTTTGAAAAATTTAAATGAATCATAAAAAGTTGTTTTTTTCCTTTCTGTCCTTGAACTTTTACCTGTACTTCTTCGGCATTTTTGCATATATGCTGCCGTTGTATTTTAAGACCGTTCGCTTGCGTACGTTGTTTCAGTTGAAATTTGCTTTTTCGCCTGCCACGATCACCATTAGGAATTTGTCCATTATATCTTTAAAAAAAAGGGTCATATATATGTTACATATAATAAATAGAAAATAACACTGTCATTGATGACGTAGTATGTTTATAAACTTAAACATATCGTCATTTTTCGATTATAAAAACTATTCAAAACGTGTTTTTTTGTAGTATTAATTACAAAGGCAACACGTTTCTATAATCGATACTAATTAATTAATTAATATTCTAAAAATTTTCTCTTAGTCTATTCATTTTACTAGATATTATCATAAAATGAATCCTGAATCCAATACAACCGTAGAAAATATAGTCCAAACTACAGATAATTCAAAAACCGCTGATGGTTTTGTTAAATCTCGAATAGAAAATGGATGTTATGTGAATGCATTTAATCCTGAATTTAAAATGCCATCATTTCCTACAGTTTTACGTTGGATGTTCGGTGCTCCGAATAATACAAATTTACCAAGAAATACTGAAGAATTAAATAATGCATTACCAATAATAAAACATCAACCAAATGAAATTGTAACAAATTCATCTGGTCTACGTTTTATATGGATTGGACATGCATCATGTTTTGTTCAAATGGATGATTTTACATTTCTAACTGATCCTGTTTTTAGTGATCGATGTGGTATAACACCTTTCATTGGACCGAAACGATATCGTCCACCAGCATTAACAGTCGATGAACTACCTGACAAACTTGAAGCTGTAGTTATATCACACAGTCATTTTGATCATTTAGATTATCCAAGTGTTGTTAGTTTAAATCGACGTTACGGAAATAAATTAACATGGTTTTGCGGTCAAGGTTTAAAAAAATGGTTTCTTGATTGTCATATAGAAAATGTTGTTGAACTTGACTGGTGGGAAGAATGGACACATCCGGTAGGATAATTAATAGAAATAATTGTATATTCTATTCTTATTTATTTAGACAAAAAATCATATTAAAATAGCATATTGTCCAGCTCAACATTGGTATTGTTATTTATTGCTTAGAATAAGAATTTTATTTCTATACTTTTTATTCTTTCAGGTCACGTCGTACAGCTTTTGATTTAAATAAATCTCTTTGGGGTGGATATGCTATATGGAATAATAAATATAAATTTTATTTTGCTGGTGATACTGGTTATACACATAAAATACCCATATTTGAACAAATTGGAAAAAAATATGGACCATTTGATCTAAGTGCTATACCTATAGGTGCATATGATCCTCGATGGATGATGGAAGGACAACATGTAGCACCTGATGAATCTGTACAGATGCATGTTGATACTCAATCAAAAAAATCTGTTGGTATACATTGGGGTACATGGGCATTAGCAAATGAAAATTATTTAGAACCAAGAAGCAAACTTATTGAAGCAGTACGAAATAAAAATTTAGATGCTGACTCATTTATTGTTTTGAAACATGGTGAAATTTTAGACTTACCCTAGAACAGCTAATTCACCATATATAATTGGTTGTTGATGTTCTTCTTCTCCTTCGTCACTTATTTTTATATCTGGCATTATCTATAATAAATTGACGATGGAATAAAAATGATATACAGATACTTAATAATACCGAGGTTATAGTACTATGATAGACGAGAAAAAAACGAGTGGTTGAATGGTTCGTTTTATATGAAGAGAGGGACTATATTCTCCTTCTTCTTCTTCGTCGTCGTCCCCTTTTTTCTTGCCTACCCGTTCTTTACTTCGCACTTCTGATGCTACTTGTCGAGCGAAAGAGAGAGAGAGAGAGAGAGAGCGCGAGCAAGTAAGCGAGCATATGTATGCACGGTTATACAGAGTATAGATGTGCATTCAAAAAGCAAGTAAAGCATATGAAGTATAAAAAAAAAGTGAAATCTTCCTTTCGCAATCGACATCAAAGAAAGAAAAAAAAGAACTGTATACTTGCCACACCCTGTACTTATGAAAAAAAAAGAATATGCATAGACGATGAACATATGGGAAAAAGTACTACTATTACAGTCAGGCATAATTGTTTTTTTTTATAGTAATGATTATCATTCATGTCATCAACCTTCTCTTCGTTCAATCATAATGAAAAAAAGAGAAGAAAAAAAAGGGAACTATTGTTCTTTATCTCGTTAAAAATTCGTATACTAGACGAATAATGTTCATCTTATTATCTGTATTACTAAGTAATAGGGTTTATCTTATATAAGTAGAGTTAGTCTGATGTTTACTAATCATCACAATTGTGTGTATGTTATGTTATTTCAACAATGGATTTTTTAGTAAGAGAACAAAAGAAATGTAAATAAAGTAGTATTACATAAAAAGACATTTTATTATTTTCAAAAACGAATTTGTTGATATTTAATTAATCTATTTCATTATAGCAATATAAATCCTATTCATATTTCTGATAACTCTAAATAGATAGATATATATTTTTAATTAATATGAATCTATATTATTGTTTTTTGAATGAAATTTTGTTATGAAGTGAAATCAATAACCTTCTCATTTGTCCTTACAACTGATATGACATGTAGACAATACATGTCATAGTTGTTGACAACTTGGAATTAAGATAATAATATCTGTCATGTCATTGTAAGTTGCGTGTGTGGTCTTATTTTTACTTACTATCACCTATAGTTGAATATGTTTGTAATGATTGCCGATTGAAGTAAGATTATATATTGTTAAGCACTGTATGTAAATTCAATTTCTTGTCTAAAATAGACTTTTTGATATAAATTATTACTATAGTAGATGACAATTGTTGGTATATATTGAATATGTACATCACAATGTTCAAATAATCATATTATATAAGTCAAGAAAAGATTTGTAATAGATAATTCAGTAAGTTGCATGAATATTGATGGGCTTACATTTAGTTACTAGTAAATTAATAAAAATAAGGGGCAATAGCCATAACTATTTTTAGATATAAAATGAACGAAATCAAATATTTCATATCATTCATGTTCAGTATAATATTATTGATAGTTGAATATCATCACCTCATAATATTTGATTATTCACTTTGAACATAGAAAGTTTTTTTTGTTTTATTTACTATGGCAAATATCAAGAATATCTATCCTGTCATCATTAATTTTCATATTAAATATGATTAACAAGAACCTCAGATTCAAGAAATACATAGTTATATGCAAAAAATATACTTTTGAAAATATTGTATAGAATGTAAAGCCATACGAATCTACATCAGATCAATATTCATTTACTTATATATACACGATTCTTTTGTGAGCATCTATGTATAATAAGTACGGTTTCATGCTGTGAGTAATAAAACTACTTGAATAAGTTTTTATAAGAGTTTCTTTTGTAAAAAAATATATTTACATTCAAGAACGTCAGAATTTAACATGATGGGCGAAAATAAGTAATTACAAATCATATAAAATGAAAACTAAATCATTGAATTAAGCTATCTAGTTTTTTTTCGTTATTCTATTGTGATAAGATATTTATATTATATTAACAGTGAAACTTTGAAGTAGGGCATCAATTAATTTTGTAAGTCTGCCAATGTTTCAAATTACAAATTAATTATTTTTCTTTCGATGATATAAAAAAAGATGTCTGTCCGTAGGCGTATATACTTTTTTGATTGTAAATCAATAAAAAGTCCCAATTATGAAACGAATTGCGGCATGTTTCAAACTGATATTTTTGTTTATGTTTATTTCATCTATAAAATTCTCTGATAAATCTTTTGCTGTAAGAATACATGAATATTAGCAGTAGTCTATCTTTACTAATATCAACAACTATATCCAAAGACGAACTATTCTTCTTCTTCACCGTTAGATATCACTAATAAAATGTCATCATTCTGTTTTTTTTTTGGCATCGACAAATAACAACAATTGCCAAACCAACTTCTTTCGGCTTATATTTGAAAATGGTATAACATGTTTAAAGAAGGGATAATTGTCATTGCTTCCTATTGTTGTCTATATAATAATGTGGACAAATTAGACACCCGACATTAATGTGTATATAAAGCAAAAGTGAGAAAAGAAGGGTGAGAGGTGAGAGATGGTCATTTTTAAATCGAAAATACATAACTGTATGAGAGATGCTATGCAAACATTGCGGCTTACGATGAATGTCTATTTAAAAAAATAAATGAGTGAGAGAGAGAAAGAGGAAAAGACATAATGTATCTTTCTTAAGTATTTTTAATAAAAACATAATTACATATAATTTAATAGCATTTTTTTATTTAAATTTAACTCGAAACAAATCTAGTTTAGAAAACTATGATTGTTGTTTCATCACACATTTGGAAGAGAAATGATCGATGATTTGTTTGTAAATCTCTTCACCTGATCGTATTGATTGTTTGTTATTGTATATCTTTCTCTAGAGAGACAACATTTTATCCATAACAACGATAGGATAGGAATCACTACGAACATATGTGACAATTTTATCAGAGTATACAGCAATTAGGCGTCACAAGCCATTTTCCTTCTTTCCATATTCGAAAGTGAGGAAAGCAATTTTGTCTCACTACCAACTTACACCACATCTATTACATCAAAGACGTAATAAGGATTAGTCTATGTGAATAAGAGGGAGAAAGAGGAAAGTGCTCACCCATTTATAGACTTAAAAAATATGGATCGTATTTTACCACCATTACTTTATCGACTCTCTTAACCGAAATAAGCCGACCGATAATTTCTACATTATATTCTTGTTCACTTTGGCGAATTCATAATATGAACTTGACTTTGCCGAAATCGTTTGAAATTAAATTACATTCGTTTGTTGTCGGTTGACGAAGAGTAAAAAATAAAAGTGTGGATTGTTGTGTGCGAAATGAAACAAGAGAGGGATCAAATCAGAGTGATCAGTCAAATGAAATACTATCAAGCAAAATGAACTAAAGCCGATTTATATTATAGATCAAATTATAAAGTTAAGAAAAGAGATTTATTTATCAAGATCAATGTATTTTTCTTCTCAAAAGAAAAGAACTACATGCTATTATAGTTACAATTTATTTCTTCGTTTAACTAATTTTGTAAAACTTATACAATACTAATAAAAGAATATGAATAGATCTATTCGTTATTTTGAACACTTTTTCGACACATGTAAATTTGCTTTCAATACAGTGGCGGATTTAGGAAGGGACGATCGCCTCCCTTCAGAAATTTTTTTCTGATTTTTTACAACAAAAATAGATTCACACACTTTGACTGAACTCAAAAAATAGTTCTCAACCGAAATCGCACCCCCGCGCCCCTCCTTTCCAAATCCTAGGTCCGTCACCGTTGAAATAGACTACTAAACTTTTGTTTTGATCAAAACTTTGCTTTCCAATGTTTTTCTGCCATAATATAAAATATTCTTAGTTGATGATTTAACGAAAGAAGAAAAAATGATGTCATATTTTCTTCACATTAACCAATCCGTATATTTTGTGTCACATTTTCAGTTATACGTCATTGGTTATCCCATAAGGAGAAGAGAAAATAGAGAGAACAGGTATACATATATATATTTGAAATCAATATTGATTCAAAGAATCACATTCTTTTCCTCTCGAACTAAACTTGTTCAATATTCATTATTCGTTTTCAATATACATTTAACAATGGATAATGATTATTATATTTCTCATGGTTCTTTACATGAACAAAATCGCATGATATCTGAAACTATTTCTAGTTCATCGGACTATTTATCTTATTCATTACCAGAATTTCATACGGAAAAAACACCAAAAAAACTGAATGGTAAATTAAAACAACAACAACAACAACAACATCGAATAAAAACTGGTTTATCAAAAAGTAAAACTCAAATTACAGAAAAAGAAGCCAAAGATGCAATTATGAGAGGTTTAGTTACTGAAACCGATGATATTGATCTAACTAAATTATCAGGTAATAATAAAAAAAATATTACGAGTTTTTTTATCTATCTATTTCTATATATAAATTCATATAAATAGGCATATCAACACTATCTCAACAAGGTCGACGATTTGGTGCTGCGGTAAAACCACCATGTAAGAAAGAGATTAATATCTCTAAATTTGTTTTATAATATTTCTTTTTATAGATTCTTATATTGCACTGATAACATTAGCTATTGAAAGTTCAAAAGATGGTAAAATGACTCTTAATGGTAAATAATTTTTGTTTTAAATTTTTTAATAATAATTCATTTTTTATCTATTAAGAAATCTATAAATTTATACAAGATCGTTATCCATTTTACAATGAAACAACTGCTCAACGTTGGCAAAATTCCATTCGACATAATTTATCATTAAATGATTGTTTTGTTAAAGTATCACGAACATCATCAGAAAATTGTTCACCATCAGGTAATAAAAGTAAAGGAAATTATTGGACATTACATGATAAAGCTAAAAATATGTTTGGAAATGGTACAAGTTTCTTACGTCGATCAAGTCGTTTTAAAACACGTCCAAAGGTATCACCAACAAAATTATTGTTAGCTTCAAGTTCAACAAATAGTAGTTCGGGTGGTGAAGGAGAAACATCATCTTCATTTGATTATGATCATATATCAACAACAAATATATATTCTCAAAACTATCATCAAGATTATGCATTTGCATCGACATCATCTTGGATTCCTCCTCCTCATCCTCCTCCAGCACAACAATCACCTTCTATTCATGATCCATTCAATATGACACCATCTTCTGTACAATTTCCATGTTATGCAGATCAATTATCATCATTTTATTGTAGGCAAAATATTTCAAATGGATATTATAATTCAAATAATCATTAATAAAAAAACAAGAATTGAATTTGTTTGTTTTTTTTTCTCTATTTTTTTGTTGTTTATTATACTCTCTTTTTTTTGTGCATTTATTTGTTCTACAATCAAATATATGTGCGCTTTTCTCAATTAGGATGATAATGTCATATGTAATTCTCAATAGCAAAGATTTTTTTCCGTACATCAATATGTGGACACGTATATAGTTAAGACAAGAGTAGTTGCTAGAGTATAGAAAAGATTCTTTTCTTTTTTTTTTTCTCTTTTCTTCTCAATAGCAAATGATAATAGTATATATACAAGCATTTTTATCCTCATCTTTTCTTTTCTCTCGGAGATGGTATCCGTTATGGTACCAATATGCTTTTTTCGATCTCATCCAATATATACAGAATATAAGGCAGGAAAATGTTAGCATTATTAAACAACACGTTGTCGACACCGCCGTCTTTGTGCTGAGGCGTAAATATTTTTAGATTCTTCCCGCCCCTACTGCAGCTAACGTTTGTACATTAGAGAGAAGAAAAGAGAAAAAAAGGAAAAATTATAGTTCGACGAGGAAAAATCATATTGTACGAATAACTATAGAGCCATCGATAGTTGCTCTACTGATGACAAGTAAACAGAGAGAAAGGCAAAAGAGTCTAAATCTATCTGTTTCCGCATACCCATATACAGCTATATATATATGTATATGTACGTAAGTAATAAACCGCAATATTTCCTCTTCGTCGTCATTGCCTACCATACCACCCGCACAGAGTAAAAGCAGTATGTAAACGCACACGTACAAAGAAGAGAGAGAGAGAGATAGAGAGAGAAGAAGAAGAAGAAGAAGAACTTTTGTGTACCACATCTTTGGAGAGTTTGTTGTTGTTGTTGTTGTTCTTATTATCGGTAGCGTAGGCATCAGGAACCGTGCGTCGTTTTTTTCTCCTCTAGGTTCTGTATATGTGTTGGACACAATCATATCTTTATATGTAGTAGAATAATATCTTTCTACTTTTTTTTTATCCCCGTCATTACTATTCAGTTATCTTAACTGAAGAAATATTTTACACTGACTTGCTTTTGTTTTATATAATATACATATTACATGTGTATATAAATATATTTATACGTTTATTTATTTATTTATTTATTTCTTATTTTAAGATCCGTTGGCAGTGTAATTATCTAGTTTAAAGTCGAAGCAACATTTAATTTATATTAAAATATTTAAAAGCCAAACCGGTCAAAAATGTCCTCAAATGCGAATACAACAGCTACGATGGATTCCATCAAAAAGAAGATGCAAGCTATGAAACTTGAAAAAGAAAATGCTGTCGATCGTGCCGATCAAGCCGAACAACGTCAAAAGGATTTTGAAGATAAACTCAAAACTGTACGTTATTTTGCATTTAATTATTTTGCTTTTCTTTTATTATTATCATCATTTCATTTTTAGTCTGAAGAAGAAAGTAATGCTTTACAAAAAAAGATTCAACAGATCGAAGGTGAACTTGATGCAGCTCAAGAACAATTAGCTGAAGCCAACGCTAAACTTGAAGCCAAAGAGAAAGCTGCTACCGATGTAAGTCTAAATTATTCTTTTTCTTTTCTTTTTCTGTTTCCTTCACAATATCCATCATCAACTCTATACATACACATACATACTAAATTATTCTCTATCTATTTCTTTTTCTCTCTTTCTCTTTCTCTGTCGTTTCTTTTTTTTTCCTCTCTATTTATCCGAACAGTGGTTATCGAGAGTATTATTCTTCTCCTCACAAATAATATGCGCATATCTACTCATACATACATACATCCGTCTATCTATAACCGACAAAGAACATCAATACATATAAAAGAAAAAAGATTTTTCCAGAAAACATGACTCAAGATAATCTCACTATTCTATTGGCAAAAGGCCAAATCAATGCAATCGAATTTTATAATCTATTTAAAAATCGTCATCCACCATCAACACGACCACCATCATCACTAACAACAAATAAATCAAGTAAAAATAAAACAAATCGCTCATCATCATCATCGAAATCACGCTTTCAAGCTTATCAACAGCCATCATCATCATCATCATCATCACGACCAAATTATGTTGTATCAAATATTTTACATAATGAACGTATTAAACAAATTCGTCAAAAATTTGTTGATAATGAACGTTTACGTGATTATCGTTTAAATGATCATGATAATGATGAAACATTTCAATTATCATCAGATGATAATGAAATGTCTTGTTCTATTTCTTCTTCTGTTTCCTCTTCCTCATCGAATTCTTCTTCATCAGTTAAAACTTCTAATCGTCGAATAAAACCCGGTTGTGAAATATATCAAGTCTCACCATATTCATCTCAAATAACATTCAATCTAAAAATTTCCATTATGCAAACTGAAGT